GTCAGCCAGCAGCAGCACAGGGAGAAGGCAGTGAAGAACATAGAAATCAAAGGCATTGATGACTGCCCTCTGAACCAGGAAAGCCTGAAGCGCACCAAGATAACTTTTTACGTGGCCCCAAATAAAGAAAGCTCTTGGGGGTCTCAAGTGGGAGAAAAGGAGAGATCTGTGACAAACACCAGCAGCAGGGACTCACCTAGCAGCAGTAGTGAGCAGAGCCTGTCCAAGAGCTTGCAGACTGTGAGAGTCCACATCCCCCAGACAGTTTTCTATGGGCAAAACACCCCTCTTGTCCTGCAGTCCATCTCCAGGCGCTACCACCGTGAACCTACGGTCCCATCCCTGCAGGCCGAGCACAGAGAGAGCCCCCAAAGTGCCTCTGCTCCTGAGGAGCTGGAGAGAAAACCAGTGGAAATGGCGCAGGCGCCAACCCTGAGCAAGGGCTTTGACACGCTCAGCCACACCATCCGCATCATCCTCCCCAACTCCATCCGAAACACCATCAGGGACTATTTCAACCACGATGAAACCGAGCCCTGTCCCGCAGCAGAGGTGGAAGCAGTGGAGAAGGAACTCCTCCGGAGCAGGGTGGAGTGGCTTAGGAGCCAGCCTCTGGCAGAGGTGGCCGCAGAGGAGCGTGACACAGCAGTGTTTGCAGAAGAGACATTTGTCTAAGGCAATGGATATGGAGGAACTAAATACTATTTTGTGTATGTGCAACAGAAAATATTCTGTAATATATGATCAGGGTGTGAAGAATTTAGCAGGCTGCATGAGGCAACAAGTGTAAAGTGACACTAATGTGTATGTAATGATGGGGTTCAATACTCATTTTGGTGGGAGGTGGGGGGGCTGTTCTTGTGTTTTCTTTATGCCCTTTTCAGATGGAAGAGACTTCACTGGGTGGGTGTGGAGTGAATACCACCAGACTCTCCCTGTCCTTGTATTAGCTGACCTGTACAGGGCCTGACTCCATTTCTTTTTTTATAGCAGGAAAAGAGAAACTTTGTTTTATTTTCTCCAGTCAGCTGCTGATGTGTGTGGATGACTGGACAACAGGGACAGCTAATGCTCCATAAGAATTAGTTAAAAATCTTTACACTTGCACAAAACCCACCATTATTCACTGTTCATCACAACCATTCATCCTTTACCTTCATTCCAGAAATCACTGCTGCTTCACTTGGCTCATCTGTTGTCTACTCTGGTCTAGCTCAAAGCCCACATCCATTATTGGTTGAGGCTGGGTTCCAAAATCAGCAGCTGGAGCCCAGAGTCCAAAGTCCAGCATTCACTGACAGAGAGCATGTGTATAATTTTAAGCCCAAGATTGCTTTTTTCTGGAATTAACTATGCAGCGATTCTTTCTTCTCATACCTTCCCCAAAGTTAGCATTTGACAGGGACACAGTTGCTATAAAGGATTTTAGTACTGTCACTTGGACAGGGATGTGAATGTTCTTCTGTGTCTTCTGGGAGTAGCTCAGTAGCTAGGAGTTTCAGTCCTAGTGAAAGTTGACAGTTTTCTGTCAATGCTGATGCCTATTCTAGAGGCAGTGTAGATGAGGCAACTGACCAAATTCCTAGTCATGCTGAGAGGGATTTGAGCAGGGCTTGGTTTTAGCGTGAGGTCAAGGAGTTGTGGAAGTTGTCAGGAATGTTGTTGAGTAGATGCTAAAGCAAAGTCTCATGTGGCCAGAAAGCTGTCAGTCCATACACTGAAACTGTCCAGGCTTCATCACTGATGCTGGCTCAGAGAAACACTGACTTCCCACTCAGCAGAGTGTGTGGCCCTGTGTGCTCCAGCAGAATTAAGTATGGGGAATTCCAGGCAGGGGTGTGCTAAGCAGGCTGCTGGTAAGGACAACCAAAGAGATGCAGCCAGTGGACTCCTGAAGCATCCCTCAAAGCCATGCTCAAAAGTGCCACAGATGTAAAGGGACTTGTTAGAGGGTTGTGACACTGCCAGCTGAGATCTAAAAAGATCCTGAGAGCACCACATTAGTTTGACAGGTTGTTTTAAGAAAACAGTGGGAAAAGTCTCAAAGGTTAAAAGGTTTGGGATGGTTCAGTTGAAAGTTACATGAGAGTTTTCTATGGTGGTATCTGTCAGAGAGACAATCCTTTTAGTCAGTGAACAGTGAATGGGTGAAGGAAGAGAGAAATACATGAATTCTGATGACTGAGAGGTTGTGCTTGTGGAATAACTATCCCTGCAAGCTGCTGAATGTCTGCAAATAGCCAGAGCTGGAGCTGCATGACAGCTGCCATGGTTCAGTCCTTGCACAGAGGGGAAAGCCACCTCTGTAAAATTATCAAGTGTCAGATCCCTCTGCTCATCTGCCAGGTGCCTATGAGGGTCAGTGACAGGAACCCAGCCCAGCACTCCAAATTCACATCATCAAATACTAGGGCAAGGGAACCAGGGGGAAGCCCAGAGCCCACTTTCCAAGGTGTATACAGTTTGTTTTGTTAGATGAAGGGTGTTTAACTCTCAGATGTGGCACTCTGTCCCAGATCACCTTTGTGGCCCTTGTATAATGAAAGGTGTATATAATCATAATATGACTCCACCACCATAATTTTCCTCACACATGAACAAGGCATCCACAGTCTTTTTTTCCAGAGCTACAGTTGTAACTGTTTTAATAAAAGACACACGAGTTGTCGTTGTGGTGTTGTCACCTTTTGTTCCCTTGCTCTTGCTCCCCTCTCCCCCGTGTCAGGGTGGTGGCATTTGCACTGAACTGCTGTGAAACACACTCACCACCTCCAGCCCAGGTCTGCCAGGCTGGCCACGCTGGCAAGAAGCCTTCTGCCAGCACAGCAGTCTAGGTATTACTCTTATCTTGTCAAGAAGGTGAAACAGCACTAAATATTATAAGAAAAGCCTGCCTGTTCTTGTAAAAGAGATTATTCTGTATTCTAAACATACTAACAGATTGTAAACTCAGTGGCTGGACTCAGGTCAAAGGGAACTTAACCAAGTGTAGAGTAAGAGCTTACAATTTGCATCACCTGAAAGGATCACAAGAAACTTAGATTCGTTTAAAGAAACACTGGGAGAGGCAGGGAAAAACAGTTTCCCTTGCCTCATCTTAGGCTGCCTAATGTGGACACAGTTCCCTGGATAACTGCTCTACCCCAGGTCTGTATTATAGCATTTTTCTTTATTTTAAACAAAACAAAATCCTGCAAAACATAGCACAAAACAGAGTTCTGGGCTTGGAAATTTGCAGCCCTCCTTTTCCATGAGACAGACAATAATGCAACTCAGAGACCAATCTTGAAAATGTTCCATAGACTCCAGCTTGCTCGTAACAAGTAATAACAAATACACAGACACTTGGTTGGCTTTCTGCCCCAGGAACGCCACATTTTCCCTTAATGTATAGCCCTGAGATGCAAACAAGCTTCCATTCTTTCTCTGCCCTTTTTCAGTTCATTTAGACCATGCTGGCCTGTCATATACTCAAAGCCCTACTCACTGCCCCACTGGATGCAGGCTCTTGGGAAGTCATATTACATGGTCACCATCCAGGAAGCGAGGAGCCTTCAGGGCCTGCTCCCAATTTAGACCAAGGCCAAACAAGTCCAGCTCATCTGCCTTGAAGAGAAATGACTCATGCAGTTCAGCCTCATCTTATTTCTGCTGAGGATATATGATTTCTTTCCTTAGCCTGCAGGCTGACAGAAACATAACGGAAGTGCCTGAGGCAGCTGTAGTTTACTTTAAACTTTCCAATTCTATTTCTGATGTTTCAACTGTCAGGAAAGCCAGTCTTCCAAGACATAGTCTCCCTCATCCTTTGCAGGTAGCTCCTTTGTGCAGAGGCCTCTCCATTATCCCATGGCACCTTCGAGGGACACACAGCCCCACCCGAGCAACATGAGCTACTTTGACTCTCTGCATTTCAGTGCTAACAGCTTGTCCTAGAAATTCTTTCTTCAGAGGTCACCCACACTCTGAAGAGGAACACAGCAGTTATTCAACCCTCCCAAGCCAGAAGCTGCTCTATCCCTTGCCATCATGCCATGATGTGTGCAGAGAGCAGACACCTTCCAGCAGCAGCCTGGGGTCCAGCTTCAAGCTCACAAGGTGGGAACTGAGGAGTGCAAAGCTCCAGATCACCTTGGCTTTGCAAGTGGCAGCATCAGGAGGGGGAGAAACTTGAAGTGCTACTGAAGGTGATGGCTTAACTGCTTTATTTTAATCCATATTTATTCTCTGTTTTTTTTTTTTACAGTAAACCTGGGACAACTTGGAGGAAAATAGGTTTGGGAGAAACAGGCACATGCTGGAAGACTTTTCTAATGTATGACAAAGCATAGGGCTACCCTGTCACATGCCAGTCACAAGCCTGAAGCATTAGTACATCACCAAATCCGTGGTCCCCAAACAGAACTGTCACCCTGCAAAAATCCACCCTGCTGCCATCACTTCTCACAGCACATGGTTCTGGCTCATGCCAGGAAATCCTTCCTGCAGGTATCCTTCTGCTAAGGATAAAACTGACATGGATAAACACTTGAACCGATTGTTGCACGAAGGAAAAATCTCGATCAGAGAGGAAGACAAAGGCTGTTAAGAGGATTCACAGGGTGTCACTCATCACCTGAGTGAGATCACATCATCACGCCAGGCGTGGCAGGGCTGGTGTCAGCAGGAGGAAGGCACGGAGGTGCACAGAGACCATCAGACACAGATGGCAATTGTGGCTCCCCGAGACAGGTGCAGGCACCGGTCCGTGCGGGATGGAGGAAGGACGGGCACGGCGCAGCGGCCCCGCCGCCACTGCGGCCTCCTCCTCCTCCTCCCCCTCACCCTCAGAGCCGCCCCGCGAGCGCCCCCTGGCGCCACTGCAGCCCCCGCGGCCTAGGCCCCAAGGTCGCAACCGAAATGACATAAATCACAGAGTTGTGGAATCGCAGAATATCCTGAGCTGGAAGGGGCCCTTCAGGATCATCCAACTCCAGGCCCTGTGCAGGACATGCCAAGAATCCCACCATGTGCCCAGGAGTATTGTCCAAATGATTCTTAACTCAGACATGCTGCTGCCCTGGGATCCTGTTCCAGTGCCCAAACACCCTCTGGGTGAAGAACCTTTTCCTGAGATCTAACCTAAACTTCCCCTGACTCAGCTTCCTGCCATTTTCTTGAGTCCTATCACTGGTCATGAGAGTGAAGAGACTGGTACCTGCCCCTCTGCTTCCCCCCATGAAGATGCTGAAGACCACAACAAGGTCTGACCTTGGTCTCCCCCTCTCCAGGCTGAACAAACCGAGTGACCTCAGCTCCTCATAAGGCTTCCCCTCCAGACCTTTCATCATCCTCACAATCCTTCTCTGGACCCTCTCTAACAGAATAATGTCTTTCTTATACTCAATGCCCAACAGTGTTGAGTACAGCAGGACAATCACCTCCTTTGATCAGCTGGCAGTGCTGTGCTTAATGCAGCCAACCAAATTTCCTTCCAACTCATTCTATTCCAGCCTGGCTTATGGTACCAGAACAGTGCATCTTGTAGGTCTAAAAGGCTCATTATAAGAATTTTATTTGAGATGAGGGATAGTACAGCAATAAGAAAATTTAACATTTGGAGAAAGTGGCTGCTCCCAGAACAGAACAATTCAGGCACCTGAAACATCTCAAGCTTGCAGAAGTGGTTGCTGCTTACAGGAACTGTCAGCACACTAATGTCCTCAGTATGCTCTTGCTGGCCAAACTGAAGTCACCTATATCACCCAGCCCATCACTGACCTGCAAACAGCAATCTTTTCCTAATCTACACAAATTGGAAAAGTCTGCTCCACCTTTAAAGAGTTAAGCCTTGCAAAATTCTCAGCAGTTCCTCAGAATAGCAGAATTCTTAAATTTCAAAGGAGAAAGTGAGTCACATACAGCAGAGGTATTTACTGACACCCACCCAGGGAAATATAAAGCCATACACTTTAATCCAATTGTGTTCAGCAGAGCATTTAAGCACTTAAAATACCAAAGACCCTATTAAGCATGATGCCTTGTTTAAATAAGAGATTTTCCAAATACACCTTTTATAGTGAATCAGACCTTTATGGCCTACTGCAAGCCAGCCACAAAAAGCAAGGGTGTCAACCAAAAGCTAAGTACACTGCCATGCCTAAATGAGAATGTAAGCTGTGCAGCAATCGTTTCCAGTTACTGTTTGCTTTGCTTTCCAACCTCCTGCTGCTTCCTGATGTCTGACACATCCATGGGGACCCTCACCGTCAGACCATCCATCGACTTCTTAACGCACACCTGGCAGCCAAGGCGCGATCTGAGAAGAAAACAAGAAGTGAGGCTCCTCTGTTCCCAAATTAAAGGGAGAAATTCCCCACCTACACTGGGATGTCTGGTTCAGGATGAGTTTTCACTAAAACTCCTTTTAATGATCTGCTGTGCCTCAAGAGAAAGCAGCTCTCAAGGCACAACTATAATACAGAACAAGCCCCATCTCCTTGGAAAGAAGTGCTCCATGGTGAGAATCTGCCGTAGAGCCTTGAGGATCTGCTGCAATCAGCAGGGAGGCTTACGTGTCAGTGAGTCCATATGCCAAGTCCAGCATGTCCAGCTCTTCATCTGAGATGGCATCAAGCTTTTGGAAGGCATCCTTCTCAAAGATGAGGTGACAGGTAGAGCAGGCTAATGTCCCTTCACAGGCACCTGGTGGAATAACAAGGGAATGACAGCAAATCAGGAAAAATAAGGGGGTGAGACCATCTTTAGGAACAACATGAGAAAAGGCACTTTAAAAGATCTGGAGCATGTCAAAAGAGATGCTAGGAAACACAACAGATGTATGTAGTTTCCAGCCTGCCTCTTCTCTGGGAGAATCACCATCAGTTTTCAAATTTTTACATCAGCTCTATGCAGCCAAAAGCACTGACAGAGGCTGCTGGAATGCCAGTGGTGACTGTGTGAGGTTACATTGCCATCTCAGTGTGGTGAGCCACCCAGCAAGTAGCTGGTGGGGAAGGGAAACTTGTATGGTCTTAGCAGAACATAGTGGCATATGTACTGGCCCTAACAGCACATGTACATATCCTGCTGCAACACCTACCAAATCCATCAATGGCCAAGTTGTGATTGACTACCACTTCCAGCAAACTCTCCCCTTCTTTGGCTGTGGTCGTAAGTCGCTCTCCATCCCGATTTATAAAATGCACTGTCACCTGATCCTCAGAGCTGTAAGACAAATTTGCAAAAGTCAGAGGAGTCCACCCTTTTCTGTACATCCACAATCGAGGTATTTGGCTGAGTGCTAGAGACATGGCACTTAGATGGAAATGTGCATGCAAACACTTTCTCAAAGGATTATGCCATGCACATGGGAAAAAATTCAAATTATCCATTCTCAGTGTCAGATAAATCTGAGTTGCCCCAAAATATTTCCCGTTTTATCAGATGGCCCAGAGAATAAATGTCTATCTGTGCACAAACAAGTACAGGTGCTCTGCATGTGCTACCCCTGCTTGGGCTGGCTGGCAGGGGGAACAGATGTAGGCAGACAGAGCATTTGCAAGTCCCAGGCCTGGGATGTTAATCCTGGGTAGACTGATGCAATAACAAGCAAATTGCTCAGGATCAAATACTAATCCAGCAAGAAGGGCTGTTGTCATTCATGTTTTGCTTCCCCTTCCAAGGGGATTACTTGATGATTGTTCCTTTTCTGTTGCTTTTTCTTCCATGAACTGCCTATTCCTTTCCTTAACTCCATCACAGGGAGCTTTCTTGTGGTGAGACACACCCAGCCCCAGCTTACAGAGCTACTGGGCTGAGTAACTTCCTCTGAACTGATGTGATCCACGCTCAGGAAAAATTGCTAGTTATTTTGACAGCCTGCAAGATTTAATCTGGCCAAGCGTTATGAACATGGCCATCAGCTTCTCTTAATGATAACTTCCAGAAAGGGCATCTAAAAATGAGAGGGGAAACAGCATCCAGTTCATCTCCTCCTGACCAGGCTCTCACACCAATCTGGAGAAGGCTGCTACTTTGACAGCAGTGTTTAGGATTTCTTACCAATACAGTATATTCCGAGACTTATATTTGCCAGAAAAAGCACATTAGCAAACACTGTTTTTTTTTTTTAGTGTACATACCAAATGCTCATTTAGATAAAGGAGGTTCCTGTTACCCAAAGGTCCCACCTCCTGTGCTGAAAGAAGGCAGCACCCCGGAGGTGGGTGGGCCTTTTGTCTAGTAACTCTCAGTGTAGCCCAAGTGCCCATCATCCCAAAGCCCAGGGCATTCTCCACTGGCAGAAGCTTCTCTTTCATCAGGCTGACAACATACACCACAGTTTCCTTCAATAAAGACACCTACAGATATTTCTAAATACACGATTTAAAGACTAGTTCTCAATTGTCAAAACAGACTAAAATAATCTGCCTCATTTTTGATGCATCAGAGTAATTTATTCCATTTGTGTGGCAAATAGGCATGTTTCCAGACAATGTTTGGTTTATCTTTATGGGTGAAATAATTTGTTACACAACAGAAATGGTAGAGTGATAAATTCCATTTAGTGCTGCAACCAAATGGATTTTTAGGCTGGATAATGAGAGATGACCACCTGCAGAGACTGCTGGATCCAAAAATCCCCAAAGCTGTCTGCACATTTATTGTCAGAAAACTTAATTCCTGTTATCCTTGAGGCACCTAGAGCTTTAGCCAACATTAATTGCAGGAGAATCTCTGCACCAACCTCACACAAATCTAGTTCCCTGCAGTTCCTCTGAGTTCAAAGCTTGCTTTGGCTGCTGCTCTCAGTTATGTGGGACCCAAGGCAGCCAAGCTGCAGCCAGGGACAGCACTCAGAGTATCCTGTTAGGTACAAGGACGGACAGATGCTATCTGCATGACTCTGGATAAGCCTGGCTGCAGAATTCACTCTTCTCAAGAGCAGGGATGATGCCAAGCACTCCTGACCATGATGCAGAGAGCGCCTTCAAGCAGCTTCCCTCTATACTGGCTGAAGGGAGTATTTAAGGTATTTGGCTGTGTTCTCAGGATTGGTGCCTCTGTTGAGAGATAAACCCAGTCCGATGACTCCTTGTTTTCACTGTTCAGTTCAGTAACTGACTTGCATACTGGTCTCATTGTCTTTATATCACTCAAATCAGTGCCAGGCTGCTCAAGTGTCCTCTGAAAGACACCTGCTTTGCGTAGCCAAAGCTGGAAACAAAGTCTGCATGTTTTTATTTTCTTTACTTTTGAATTTGTTTATTGGTGTTTTTGAAAGAGTGAAAAAATTCCTTTCACATTTTGTTAAGTAATTTTGAACCAGGATTTAAAAAAAAAAAACACACCAAAAAACACCAAAACTGGTTAGATTAAATTTTGCTTCATTTAGGATCAACTAATAGTTTTACAATGGCATTACTGTCACAGGATACGTGGTCAGAGGCTTGTAAAGATCTTACCAGGATATGATAAATTCAACACTGCAAAATCAGTGTATGCCAACTGATTATTCCCTTTTAAAAAATAAAATCTCAAACCTTTTGTGACACAGGAAAGTGGTGAAGGAGGTTCCAAGAAAGTAGTTCTTCCCCCGTCAATGTTTTCCCTAAAAGATACTTTCCAAGGCCATACAAACCAACAAGATGCCTACAAGTACTGCCAGAGATAATTTCACAAGCAACAAACCAATTAGAAAAAAATCCCATTGATAATGAGTCTTCATAAATCCCACCAAGCAGGGTTATCACTGTGACTTTTCTCTAAGCTCAGATAGCAAAATAGCTTATTGTGTTTTCTGCGATGTTGGTTGGCTCTCTCTCCCTCAATGCCTAGCATTACAGTCTGACCCAGATTATACTAGTCTAGGAGATTCACAAATTACATTTATTTTACCTTCTCCTCCTGAACTATCCCTGAAGCAGAGAGAGGAAAGGCTGGCAGGGAGCCTGCAGTAGTTCCTGCTGTGGAAATGGGCCAAAAAACTCTTGTGCCTCTTTGTCACCTTCACCAGATGGTTCCCAGCTGTTAGCTGTGGCTCCCACAGCTCTGGAGGCAGGACTAGCACTTCTGACAGGTCCCCACAGCTCCAGAGACAGGAAGCAGCACCTCTCAGGCTGGGTCCTGGCACCATCTTCCTCCCATCAGTGTCTGCTCACCTAAGGTGGTCTTGTCCCCCACATCCCACAGGCCAGGGCTTCGCTGGCCTCTCTCCTCTTCCTGTCTCAGGGCAAGGCAGAGGTGTGTGCCCATCCCTTTGGATGCAGCAATGTAGCGTTTGACTCACCTTGATTCCCCAGGGGCATCCTGGGACCCGTGTGTGGAGCTGAAGCCTCTTTCTGGCCAGCACTTTGCTGGGCTGTGGTGCTGCTCAGTCACACCACAGAGCAAAAAGAGGCGAATTTTGCTCGCGTTCAGTCCCCTCCGCAAGGGCTGCATGAGCCCCAAGATGCCGTGAGCCATCCTGCTGCTGTGGGTGCTGCTCCGTGTCCCCCGAGCTGTCCTTTGATGCAAGGACAGCTTGATTAGGGACTTATACGTACAGCTGGGGAGGATGGGGGGGAAGGAAAGAAAAAAAAAAAAAAATAGTAGGACAGCCTCCCTGGGGGTGGAGGGAGGGAGGAGGGAAGGGAAGCAGGAAGGAAGGATGGACAAAGGGATTGTGCTTGGATCTTGCTGCAGTCCAGCCCATCAGGGCATGGGAATTGGTTGAAGCACGGGAACATGTGAATCACCTCCACATGCCATTTTCTGAGCAATGTTCACTTTGTTCTCCCTACAGACTTCCCTTTTAGGAGCCAGAACTAAATCAAATTTCAGAAGAAATATTCATTGTGATGTCTAATCATACAAGGAGTTGCAAGTTGAGGACTGGGAGAACAGAGAGGCAGGAGCGCTGATGACTGCTGCCTTGAGGAGAGGGGACGCGGTTCCTACAGCAATAGAGTGAAAGCAAAACAGGAATTCTTCTCTTGACAAGATGGCATCCAGCCACATCATTGCCTTACCCAAAACTGCAGGCTTCCATCTCTAAAATGTGAATATTCACTTACTTCACATGATGGTGATGAGAAGCAGCCACACTTAGCTTATTTGCTAAACTCTGCTGAAAAGTACTATAAAGGTGCAGATAACTGTCACTCATTTCATTCTAACTGATAATCCATGCTACTAAGCTTTGAAGCCTTGGAGAAGAAAACTCTTTATTCTCAGAAACACATTTGTTGGTTTAGTCTACCCTCCTCTACAGGGTAAATCAATATGAATCCAAGGGCCAAAAATACAACAAAAGACAGTTTCAGTTCCTGGTTTCTGTTAGGGAGTTAGGGAACAGCTCTCACCTCAAGAGCCTGAATGGTTCCTTCCACCAAATTAACAGCTCACCATTTGGTAGGATATCTGCTTTAATCAAGTTTTATTAATGCAGTAACATATTTGGTAGCCATTATAAGCAAAATATGTTGATACTGAATTCTCTAATCCATCTGTACAGGGGAAAAATGACATCATAAGATAGAAAATGTCTGCCTCAAAACACATACAGTGCTGGATTCATAGTTCTGAAGATAACCAGAACATTTTGGCTTTTTGCCCCAAAATGAAAATTTTCCTCCCAAAGCTTTCAGGTTGGAAGGGTTGGAAAGGGGTCCTTAAACTTTCTGAAAAAAGCATCAATGATATTAAGGAATGCAAGTATTTTCCATAAGCTGGGAGAGAAATGTATTCTTCAGTTCAAAGGCAAGTGTTCAAGCATTCAAACACACCCCTCAGACAGCTCCAGTGGAGACAAATGCATGGGCAATGCATACAGGATTAAAAACACAAAAAATTCTCAGGTCAACTTTTTCAGGTGGTTTGCTCTCTCCTACAAGCTGCCCCAAATGCTTCAGTCTTCAAAGCCAAATTCTTGAGCTCCATCTCACCCCCAAACTTAAAACCACCCTGTGCAGCCTCTGCAGCTGAGAGACTCTGGCCAGTTCTGCCTTTGCTTTTCAGGCCCTGCAGAGGCAGCAGACAGCCCAGTTCCATCTCTCAGCCATTTCCACGGCAAGAAAGCAAGGCTTGCCATGAGAGACACAAGGAGAGGGGCCACAGCACATACAAACCACAAAGCATCTTATCTCTCCAGCAAACCTTGAGTTGAGAGAGATACATGAGATATATGCACAGCAGTTTCCACAGCAAGGACATTTGTGTGTTTGTCTGGCACTGACTCCTCTCCCTACCAGGAACTCAGAGCACAGCAAGTGACAGGTCAATGTCACCTGATGGAAGAGAGAGAAGTCAGGGATATGAGAAGCAGCAAAGGGGACAACTGCTCCCTGGTGAAAGCAAAACAATTCTGCTGAGGCAGGAGAGATTCAGGCCCTTACAGGTTTTGAATAGTCTGTTTTAAGGTCTTTGAAATACTGAGAAAAGACAGAAGCAAAATCTTTCCAGAATAAATCATTGTTCATTTAGCCAAGGCCACAAAAATAGAAAGCTTTACAAATAACCACCCCTCCCACAAAAAAAATGCAAAACCAGCCAACAAAAAACCCAAACCAACCAACCAACCAAGAAAAAATACCATTGCTTAAAAAAAACCAACAAAAACACCTCAAGATTTTGCTTCACAGGTCAGCACGTATTTTATGAGCAGGCCAGACACAGCTGGAAAGAATCTTTAGCTCTGTTTCAAATATGGTTTGTCAGAAACCAACTTCCTAGCAGTTCACATAGGCACATTGCCCCCCACCTCCCCACACTCTGTCAGTGCAATGGCTATACCCACACATCCAGTCATGTGTTGGCACATGCTGGTAAGGAAGTGGTTTTCTAGCTTGAAATACATCCTCCAATATCTTCTGTACCACACACCAAACGATGTGGTCCTCCCTCTCCCCAGTCTAGGGACTCTCATGCAAATACCCAAAACACCTAGGAGCTGCCATTAACTCCATCTCAGCCCCAATTTCTGCACAAGGAAGTAAACGCTGAAATCAGCACTGGCCTATTCCAACCAGAAGTTACAAAACACCTTTGCAGCCCTCCACAGCTGAGAAGCATACTTGGATTTTTGAGATACCCAATCCAGCTCCTCTGACCACTGCTAGTTTCTTGCCAGCAAGCAGAGCTGCCCTGGCTCAGTCACTGCCCATGCTATTCAGGTGTAGATAGTCCTATAGGGGAAGTCTCAGGGACTGCAGTCAGAGCAGCAGGCACACAGACCCAGGAATAATGAAGATTTCCAGAAGCCAGCCTTCATTAATTGGAAAAGCAAGAATAGCTTACCCCTCCCCACCTACCAAGCTCACTGCCTCACAAACACTCCTGTAGGGAAGCAGATATGAGCTGCTTGCTGACACAGAACTAAAGCACTGAGCAAAACTAAAATTCACCTTTCCCACTGTCACTTTAAAAAACCATTAACCACCTTTCCTGTTCCAGAGCAAGTTGCTAATAAAAGCAAACAGAACAACTTGTACTGGTTTGACTTTTTGCAAGCCTGCAAGCCCAGACAGAGAGTGCTTCTGCTGCCTCAAAAGAGATGCACTGAGCATAGATCCAGGACAAAGTGCACACACCAAGTGAGCTCAAGTTACAGATACTGCCTCAGAGGCTGGGGCTTGGGGAGAGGACTGTAAATGTGCCTCAGTTTCTATGTCTCTCAAACAAGACTGCTTGCCCCATTCTAACTTTCCCTAGAGATTCAGCAACCTTCTGAGAATCGCACAAACAAAAGGAGCAAGGACCATATTGTCACCACTGGAAGCAGGAGGGCAGACATGCAATCAGAGATGGGCTGACACTGCAACAAGAAAGCACAATGAATTCACAACAGGGCTTCTGGACAGCAGCCACTTCTGACAATGCAGCTGCTGCCTGGCTGGGTGAAGGACACTAAGAAGTTACAGTGCCCCAGCCAAGACCTTCACTCCCACATGCTTCTCCTTCAAGCATCCAGTCAAGGATGCTTCAAAGATGGATGGGAGTGCAATATTGCTGCATGTGGGGTATAGACAGCCTTCACCTTAACCTCCCAGCTCAAGAGCAGTTTATTTCACACCCCTTCAGTCAAACTTGTTGACTCAGACCAGGCTGCATTTTGTTAAAGGATGATGCACAACCACAGGCTATAGCAATCATGGGGGCTTGTAATTTTTAAATTATCTCTTCTCACCAGAAAGATGTGTATTAATAGCTGCTCTGAGCAAGTGCATTCTGACCAGAAGCTGAAGGTTCAGTCCCCTCCCCCTACAAGCATCCAGTATTACTTTTTGCAGTTTCAGCACTACTTTTTCTCTAATATCTCCTCATTCTTTCTTCCACTTTTCACTATACCCTTCATCCTGACACCTGTCCTGAAAAGCTTCATCTTGGAATTGCTAGTAATGTTTAGAGACCCATCACCTGGAGCTAGATACTCATGTAGGCATTGTTCAGACACAGGAGCCTGCTCCTTTGTCTACAAACTGCACTTGGAACAGCAAACCTGCAAGGCAAAAGCCAGCCTCAGCCTAGCATTTCATACATTGAGGCCCAGACCATTTTTTACAGAATGCTTTGGGTTGGAAGGGGTAAAGATCATTCAGTTCCAATCCCCTGACCATGGGCAAGGATGCCACCCACCAGACCAGGTTGCTCAGGGCCTCACCCAACCTGGCCTTGAACATTTCCAGGGATGGAGCATTTTTCTTACAGAAGTTATTAACATCACATGTGGCATCAATTTGCATATGGGCATGCAACAGTTATGGGTTGACATCAGTCACAGAGGAATTCTGTTCTCTGCCAGTTGTCACGTGCTCTGAGATTACATGCCCTGCTATAAGACATTTAAACTACATAGCCAAGATTGAGTTATGCACAGCCGCAAAGCTGGCAGGGAACAGAAGAGTCATACTGATGGTACAGGGCAAACAAGCCATGCCTCAGGTGCTCTCTGCTTTCTCACTTGCAGTCTGACTTTGTAGGTGCTCAAGCAGCTGCCATACAAATGCCTACAATTATCATACCTTACTCTGTACATTGCACTACCAACCTTGGGATGCTGGAAAAATGCTTGTGCTTTCCTCCAAACATTATCTTGAGCAAGAAACTAATAAGCTGTTCATCAACCTAGCAAAATCCCTACAGGGCTTGTCTGCATCAAAACAAATCAGAATTTGAAGACCATGCCCTTGCAATTCCCTGCTTTAGAAAGAGCAAACAACAGAAGGAGGAAGCAATCAGAGTCTTATTTCTGCAGTTTCTTTGTCCTACTTGGAGTCAGTGCATCTCAGGCCAAATGCATAAGTCTACCAAACAGATTGAACTTAATGAGTATTTTACTCTACAGAGTAACTTTGGCTTTTCTTTAGAGTTCTTAATAAATTGCACTGCTTAATAAAGCAACATTGCAAAAAGATGGTGTTTATAGCCCCCCAGCCTTCTGAGAGTCTTTCATGCCCATCCCACAGCCAAAAGTAGCTGGGCCCCAA